GTTCTTACAATTAACTGGTGACAATTCTATGTGCTGAACACCTAGAATAGCATGTTTAAACAACCTGTTTTCAATCAGTTTCCTTACTTCTGAGGATTGGTATACTATCTCACACCTAAGCAAGCCTTAGGTGACCAAGCTGTTAAAATTGGAAATCTGCCTTCTTGTGTATGCTGCCTAATTCTCAACAGGTTTTAAAATCAGTAGGCAAATTGATTAGGCCTTCCTGAGTAATACAACAAATCTGCTATCGACTTGCCTTCTAAAAAAAACACCTAGATGTCATGCCTTAGGAATCTGAATACTGTCATTTACTGTGCTTAAGTCGTGCTGCTTATGTGTTTGTTTGAGGAGGAAACCCTGAGCCTTTTAATTGCTCCCATTATGTGTGGAAGTCCTAAATGTTTTGACTGTCACCTTAAAATTTTACCTTTTTAAAACCTTAGGAGTACGTCTAGAACCACCTATAGGTAGACGTCCTAACTCCCCCCAGGACCATTAAGAAGGGACGGGTAGCAGCACGCGATAGGAATCCGTGACCAACACTCGCTTTGCATGGCCAATAAGGGGACTGGAAGGATAGGCATGGATATGATGACCGGTGCGCTAATGCCACGCGTAGCCCCTTTCTAAGGAGTGATTACCAGGCATTGTACTGATGTGATCCTATAGGCTAACCAACCTAGGACCTCCCTCTCCCCCAAATTCTCTTTGCTTGAAACTTTATTTTCCTTTCTTTACAACCTGTTTAAATTCTTATTTTATACAATGCCCCAACATGTTCTACTTGCAATTATTTGCTTCAATTGTTTATTTATGGACTAATTTGTGAAATAAGTTCGGCCGGGACCCACAGTTGTGGACCAAGAGGGGTGCCTAACACCTTCCCCTCGAGGTTACTTCGAGCCCTTACCCTAATATCTGGTAATGCAAACCAACCCAAAAGTTAATCGCTCTAGGTGCCCTAACGCACCATAATCCGTCAGGTGGAGACTCTTCAAATACCCACTTCCCAAAGGGAAATGAGTCATTACACCCCGTGAATGTCGAAACCCGGACTTCTCCCCGCGAGGAGGTTTAAAAAAGGGGGTGCGACAATTGGTGCTGAAAATTTGAACAACTAAGAAATGTGCAAATAATGATAGAATTATATAACATCACAAAAGCTAAGCATGAAACCTCGTCAGTCACCTTTGGTACGTCGTTAGTAGCTTTTATAATGCCTGTTCAGTGGTTTTCAGTTCAAAAGGCATTGGGCATTAGAAGATGGTTAATAATTAAGCTACATCTTAATATACTGGTTCATATAAGACACATCCTGCTTTGTACTAAAAAGAGAAATTTTTATTACAGACTGAGCGATACCCACCTTCAGAAATTACCTATATTTAGTTTTTCAATTTTCATAACCATAAATAAATTATAAAGACAGAAATTTTGATGCGGAGCAGAAGAACCCGAAAGATTCACCTAACTTTTTCTTGTCCTACGATCAGTCTTTATTTCTTTAGTCAGCTATTACAGATTTGATATCAGAAATGCATACTTTACTTGGCTTATGATATCATGTGAATGATGAGTTATCTAAAGTGAAATCGTTTCAACTTTTAATAGTTAGTATTCACTCTAATTCTCAAAATGAAATCTTTTTAACTTCTAACAGTTAGTATTCATAGAATATTTCTTATACTATAACTTCGATCTCAAGAACAGTAAATATAAACTCCAAGAGCTATATGAATGTTATAAAATTGCTCTTAATATACCACCCTTTACTCGCAACTTGTTAGCGATGGCAAAGATTATTGTTTCTTTCACCTTTTCCTATTAATATGAGTAGTAATTTGGAATCTCCTGTTGCCAAAAAGAAAAAGAGCCCAAATAAGCTCTTCATAATCACCAACAAAATTCTAAAAAAAAAAAAATTAAAAAAAGAGACAAGAATACAAAAAATAGCCCTAAAAAAAGGTCAGAGATATGTTGTCATAGAGGGCATTAGAGTTGAGGGCTTATTTTCTGGAGTCACAATTACTGGAGTATCAAATGCACAGTCACCTATAAGAGCACCACACATCTAATGTAGAAACATAGCTTATTCAGGAACTCAAAAGGAAAAGCCCCAGTTTCTAATAAAATTCTAATATAATCTCCAAATCCGGTTTTGAGAAAACCCGTTAAAATACCCATCATAAATTGCTTATAAGAATCTATGAACAACTATAAAGCAAGAAAAAAGATTGAAATTTAAGGAGAAAACTACCTCTTTTACCATTTGATATTAACAGTTTGATTGCTTTCCAAACTTTAGAAAGGTCCTCAACCACCAGAGAAAAATCATGAAGTCGCTAGCCTAGGGGTTTGTCGACGCCTACAAACAGTAATTCAATTTTGCTTGCAAGAAAGATCTTTACACTTTCTGAGAAGAAGACTAGAGAGAGTGAGAGCAACTAAGAAAAGTAGAAAGAAGGCAATGGAACATAATGCTTCTGGAATTATGTCGAGCATGCAGTAAAGGACTAAGCAAAAAGACAATTTTGCCCTTGATCGATCAACTTCTCATTTACTAAGCACCAAAATAAACCAACCCCAATACATCTTACCATTTTGATCATTTTCACATATAATTGAAGGGTATTTGCCGATGCAATTCAATAATTAATTCACTGCCTTTAATTAACTGTCTTCCTAGAATCATGTTCAGAGAAATTAGTACTTATTTAAAAAGCTATCATCAATTCCCGTACATAATGTATTCGCTAATAATGGATATATCGTGTGCATAACTTATTTAACTTTTGAATATTACCTTAGACTTTCTTTTCTTCCACCCCAATCCAACGCTAACAACCAAATTAAATATGTCATGCCCTATATATATATATATATATATATATATATATATATATATAAAATTAAAGATCGGCTCCTCTCCTAGGCAACCTAAAAAGAAAAGGAAGAATTCCTAAATTTTGTCACCACATTGATGGTCATATTGGAAAACGACCATCAAAAAAATAATTTCAACTAGTATCAGTGCATAGCTTAGTGCTTCTCGAGTACATGATTCCTAATTAGGGGATTAAGGTTTGAATCGGATTCCGAAGATTTCAGTAATTTAGCCTAAGTCTTGAATATATGTTAAAAAATAAATTAATAATGTACAAAAATTATTTACCCGTAAAATAGTATAGTTGAATTTATAACGTGGCTTATAGACAAACATATTGATTTGATCCCAAAATTACAAATAAACTAAATGAAAAGTATAAGACTTAGCGTTGAAATCGAAATAAACAGCAGGTAGCCTGATTTGGGGAGCAGGGCTTCTGAATGCAGTGATAAGAGCAGCGTTCACTACAAGAAAATTGTAAAATTGTGACGGAATATTTGAGACGAAGCATTCTGTCACAAATTGTGACGGATTTGTGACGCATTTTGGACAAATCAACCTTACATGGACGAAATTATCAAAAGATTTTATTTTTTCCTAAAAAAATTCTAAGAGTAACGGATTTGTGACAAATTTGTGACAGATATGAAATTTAGTCTTTGTGACGAACATATTTTTGTCACAAAATTATGGCAGAAGAGAAGAAATAGCAATACTTTGTCAAAAATCCGTCACAAATTTTGTGACAGATTATATTTTCCGTCACAATATTATAAAAGAGCAATTATCTAATAAAAATAATTTTGTGACAGATTTATTTTCCATGACAATAATTTTTGACGGAACATTCAGTCACAATTTTAGAAACATTTGGACAACTTACAAATTTTTTCCAAAATATTTGCCCACTTTTTAGTTTCTCCCTCCAAATATTTTGCCCACTTTTTAGGTTCCCTCCGCCAAACCTCTTATTCCACAAAACTCTTAAGACTTAGACCCATTTTCTCATTCCACTCCTCCCTGCTTCTCTCTCTCTTTCAACACAAAACACAAATGGCGATTCGTGTACCCTTCTAGACTCAACGCCACAGCAACACTTGCAGGTTTGATTTTGCTCCAGTCTCTTCATCCACACTCAATAGCTTTTGGATCTTTCAATTTTTGTTCAGATTTGTCTATGTTTTTCTTGAATATTATTTTCCAAAGTGAATAACATTTGGGTATTGCTGTTGGGTTCTTCTATCTAAGCTTAGAAAACTCCGATTTAGCTAAAAAGCTTTTGCATGCAACTATTTTAGGTACAAATTTTGGGTCATTCACTTGAAGTGGTTTGAAATACTTCTGAGATAGGTGAGATTTTAGTTTCTTGTTTATGATTTGGTCTTAATTTTGAGCAAAGGAAAAAGCTCTAATTTTGCTAAAGGAAATAATTGTGCTTATTGTAGATATCAACTTTGTCGTCTTGGAAAAAGGTAAAAAAATGAAGAATGTGCAGGCTTTTGTTTTCCAGCTTTTGAAAAGTTTTTCTATATGCTTAATAAATTTCTGATATTTTTTAGGTAATAATTTTCTGGTTACTAAGATGAATATGGTCCTTGTTGTTAAAACAAGACTCACCCCTATTTGAGCTAATTCATCCTTGTAGTTCATAGACAATTCATCAACCTCCTCATAGGATATAACATTCATGGTAGAGTTACTGTTGCAATGTTTAGGAACTCAAAATTACTCTTAGTTGTTGAAAGGGGCCGGGTGCGTAGGATAAGCCTCACATTGAGTGCATTTGAGTGTTTCAAAAATTCTTTAGGAGTGGTGGTGATTTTCAATTTGCTATAACTTGTGTTATTATACCTTCTTTTTGGTTGTTTTTGGTTATATACGTGCTATATATGTTGCTTCCTGACTCTAAATTGATTTATATCATTTTATTGCTGGAATCTCATAAAGTAAACTAAGTGCTCTTAAACAATATTAATTATCTTATTTATCTTGTCTAAATGTCTTAAACTATGGTCATTTATATTTTTCTGTTTCATTCTCTTTTTTGGATCAGTTTCTTCAACATATAGGCAAGGAGTCAAGCACCTCCCTAGCAGAAAGATTAAAAAAGAAATTAACAGTTCCAAGAAGTACGCAGTTCTAGATATTTTTCTGATTTATCTAGTGAATGGTAATTTCTATTTCAATATTTGGCATTACATATGTTTTTTCCTTGGGACTTTTATTGATGTTGATACAGTTAGGTAGGAAACTTGTGACTTTTCTAGTTATCATTGAATCTTGTTAAATTAGTGCCATTTTCTGTTGGATTCTATAGCAGAATGCAAGCTTGACATGTCTACTTTAGTACAAATATGTTCTAATAGATTAAATTTACTTTTTAAAAAATAGCTAGATAATAGACAACTTTAATTACAACAAATAATCTTGTTTGTCATCATGTATGTTCTAATCAAACGAACCGTGTTATTTAAATGTTCTTGGTTTGATCCAACACCAAAACATGGTACTCGAGTACATGCACAATATAATCTTGTTGATGTAAACAAAAGAAGGACCTTTAATAAATATGAACCATTTATTATGGCAGTGCAAGCTACTCAGGTGTATCTTGAAACTTATCCTACTCTAAAGAGGACAACAGATGAATGGTTAGCTGTTTGTAATATAAAGGCACGATCTGTTGTGGAGATTTCAAAAAAAGCAGAACAACCTATTGATTCAGCTTTTCAAGAGGATGTCATTCAAGTGTATGCAATTGATATTTCTGTAGATGAAACTCCCCATGCATTGAATGATCCTGATGGTTTGCTCATTGACATGGAGGAGGAGGAGGAGGAGGAGGAGGAGGAGGAGGACGAGGACGAGGACGAGGACGAGGACGAGGAGGGGGATGATGAAGAAAGTGAATAAACTAAATGTTACTTGAAGTGGTAAAAGTTTATGTTTTTGAATGGATCTAATTTGAATTATCTCTTAGAACCAGTAAGGAGGAAAGTACTTTTTGAGTGAATTTGGTTATGTCCTTATATTTTGTAATTTTTGTTGTACATCTTATCTCTTGTGTCCACAAAATGAATTGATGTAATTGAAAGCTAGTACTTAATCTTATAATGATCTTTGTTGCTTCAGTTATAAGTTGTACATCATATCTTTTGTATACACAAAATGAACTGATATAATGTAAAAGCTAATACTTTATCTTATAAGGAACATTGTTGCTTCAGTTATTAAGATTTATTATGTTAAGAGTTATTTCATGAGCTATTTTGTATGTATTCAAAGCTGTGATCCATTGCTAATTAATAAACTTTTAAGAATATGAGTGACTCGCCATCATCAGTTCCTCGTACTCCTAGTACTCCTGGAACTCCAGATATCTCTGTTGGATCTACTACCGGCTCATGTCCATCTAGTCGGTTGGCCATCTCAGTTGTGGGAGAAAAGTAAGAACTAATATTTTTGTATATATGTTTTAACTTTTAAAAATATAAATATCGTGAAATGTATTAGTTATTTATTTTTAATTTTGTTCAGGTTCGTTCCTAATGGTCATTCTATCTCAAAGACCATCACTGATACCTTCATGGAGCGGCAAGATGCTACTGGTTACACATGGAAGGTTGTCTGCCAATCCACTCGTGACTTCTATTGGCATGAATTTATGGTAAATATCGTTTTCTATAAAAAAAAATTATAAGTAATTATTTAGTATATATATGTATTTATGTCACTGATCAAATATCTTTTGTTAGAAATTATATCACTGGAGTTCTGCTGAGGATGCCATAATCAAACATACTTGGAAAAAAGTGGCATCTACCTTGTACACTAAAAAGCTGCACAAGTGGCGAAATTTTACAACCAGACCTACTTTTATTAAAGAGCATATATGGGAAAGCTGGCAGGCACACTGGTCATCGAAAAAGTGGCTTGAAAAATCTCGTGTCGCCATTCAAAATCGGTGTAGCGAGACTGGTGGTCCAGGCACTGGTCCAAGCAAGCATACCGGTGGTTCTAGGTCTACAGTGGAGCATACTATAAAATTGGTATTGAATTTAACCTTTCAATAGAGTAATTATATGACCTTATCTCCTATTTTAATATTGTACTCTATTATTCAGGCAATAGAATTACATCGTCCAACAAATTCATGGGATATATTTAAGAAGCTGCATAAAAGAAAGGATGGGAACTTTGTGGATACCAAGTCTAAGACTGTTGGTGTAAGTTTCTTTTATAATATTTCATCATTTTATTTGAGAATGAATATGAGGAATATTACTGGTGCAATCCACTTATCTGAAAGCTTCTTCACATCATCTCATTTCTTGTTTAATTAGCATTTCATTTCTTGTTCTGATGCAGAAATGAAACACATATTGTGACTTATTTTTATTTCTTATTATGCTTCAAAGAATCAGCTTATGAGTCACTAAGTATAAGTTTATTTTTACTTAAGAAGAATATCTGTTGAAAGCTTGTGATAGAATTCTATTCTGGTCTAATTTTTTTATTCTAATCTTGAAAATGATATCATATGAGTCTATGACAAGTTAATAAATGACAATTATTTTTATGAGTTTTAGAGATTTGCTTCTTTGCATCTGTGATTCAAGTTTTAAACTACATATAATGAACATTGCTTCTTTAGTTGCTTACGTGAGTGAGCTGTAAAACTTAATTATAGGAAATCTTTGTATATTACTTCTCATTAGTTTCTTATTTTGATAAATGTATGTAGGATAAAATGGAAGTTGCGATGGCTGCTGCTATTTCGAGCTTATCCGATGATTCACAAGAAGTTCAAAATGCCGATATAAATCGCCTATACTTGGATGTTGTCGGCGGAGAGAAGAAAAGACGTGTGTATGGATTGGGCTCTCAAGCTGCGACTTTGTATCAAGGCTACAATTCTGCCACTTCACGCCATTTGCCTGTAGTACCAGATCCCGCTGCTGAAGAGCGCATCAAAGTGCTTGAGGAGGAGGTGTTGCGTATGAGAGAAACACAAGAGAGGATTCTTCAAGAGCGCGTGGAGGCAGAGGTGCAACAACGCGTAGACCAAGAGGTCTCGCGTTTGAATCAACAGAATGATGATCGATTGCGGTCTATGGAGGAGCAATGGATGCGCAAGATGAGCGAGATGGCATTATCATCTCACCCATCTGGTGTTCCTACTCCCTTTAACAGGGACTAACCAAATGCTTTAGTATTTAACATTGTTAGACTTTAGCAACTTGGATACTCTCTAAGTGCTATTTTAACGTTGGCAGGCTTTTGATTGTTGGATGCTTTGTAATTTTTAATATGTTTAGACTTTTGCTAGTAGAACTTATATTTTGGCATGTTTTAACTTCGTATGTTTTATTATATATTTCATATTATGTTTGTTATTGGTTGGTTGTTGTTAGTTGTCTTTATGCTTTTAGCTAATTTTTGCATAAGTATTATTAATTATTTGTTAAAGCTGAAAGTCCAAATTTAAATTTTTGACAGATCTACATGGCCAAAAACATTCACCAAATTCTTAAATAGTGATGGAAACTTATGTGTCACAAATATTATGTATCCCAAATCTGTCACTAATATAGCTGCCAACTGTGTCAATTTGTGACAGAAAATTTTATCACAATTTATTTGTGACAAAATATTCTGTCACAATTGCTGTGAATATATAAATAAATTTGTCTCAAAAACTATTTAGTCACAATAATTGTCACGGATATATCTGTCACAAATCCGTCTCTATTTTGTGACGGAATCAAGCTACATGCAGGCCTCTATATTGCGATGGACGATTTTTGTCATAAATCTGTCACAAAAATTTTGTGACCGAAATTTGATCCGTAAAAAAAAATTTACGACCAAAGGTTTTGGGACGTCCCCGTTTTTGTTACAATTCCGTCACTAACACAAATTTGTGACGGAATTGTGACAGAACCGTCCGTCACAATTTTGCCATTTTCTTGTAGTGGTTAAACAAAAAGCAAAGTGTTGTTTAGCTCGAGAATAACGTGTAGCATAAGTTTTGTTAGAGATTTTTTGTGTTACAATGGTTGTTGAAGCTATTCTTTATAGCTATACTTAGGGAACAAGGTCGTAGGATCTAGCCCCTCTTAAATGACAATAATGGAGGTCACTGATGAATATGTAACGACAAGCCATGAATGCCAAAATTCTCTGCAAACAGCTGTATATTCAACACTGAGGAACATTCGTCATTAAATGTCATCTGGTGACAAATATTTATTTGCTTCCGTTGACTGTGTTCCCCTCAGAATCTATCTGGTGCCAATTGAAGTTGTTGTCCTCGGTCTTGGTTTCCACTCGCTTCATCTTCCATCTTCCTCTGGTTCCACGTGTCACGCTATCATTTGGCATTTAATATGAACCGAAATTTACCTTATACAGATAATCCCTCTGCTTTCCAATGGCATATCTTTGTGTCACCGAAAAGTTGGTGAAGATCCTTTTTTGGCGAGAAATTTTCTGAACCATTCTGAAAAGTTTCTGACGCTTGATAAGACGCATGTCTCCTTTTTATACCCCGAACACATGTTACTCCATGATTTAAAATCATTTTTGCCGATTCTCGAGGTAATCATGTCCACGATTTTAGCCGCCTATTCCTTTACTTATACGCCTCATTCTTCTTCTTTCACTTCTAACAGTTTCATGAACTCTCTCAACTTCTTTGCATGCAATTCCTTTTGGCTTTCATCTCTTCTTGTTCTTCTTCAAAAAAAACTCCACCATCTTCTTCTCATTATGGCTTCCTTTACTAATTCTTCCCAGAACTCTGGTCTTCTCTTCGATGGGGGCCCGAAGAGGAACAAAGATAAAGACGTCGATGTTGATGTTGATCCTCCCACGGTGAGCACAATCATCTCCAAATATCTCAACACAACCAAGGAATTTGAAGAGAAGTTTTCCACTTCAAACCCTCAAATCTGGGCTGTTGGTAAATATCCTTCTTTTATTCGCCCTTTCAGTATTTCTGCTGTGAAGGAGGATTGTGACTGCCATGCCCTCAACATCATTTCTCCTGACCTGGTGGAGCGTCTGACCTTCACTAATAAGGGTTTTACGTATGTTTATATGTATCCCTTCTCTTTGGGTATGTTTTCTTTGAGCGAGGGACTTGACCCCGTGATTTTGGAACTGTGAGCCGGTACCAGGTTTGTTGGCACATGTGGGCCCCTCGGTGTGGCAAATAGTGGCATGTCTACGGCAGTTGTGCCTGGAAACGAATGATCCCCTCACCTTGGCTCATATGATGAACCTCTACTCCCCCAAAATCTTTCGCGGGGGAGTAATAAATTTCAGCAAGCGTGGCCACCATGCATTGCTTACCAGCATGGATAACGATAATGACCGTGGATGGATAGAGCGGTTTGTCATCATTGCTACCAGGGATATCATCCCGGCCACAACTCCATCCTTGCCTGAATCTTGAGCTCGTTCACGTAAGTATAAAGTCTATCTCTTTTTCTACAAAAAGGTTGTTTCATGTCAGTTCTAACCCTTCTTCATTCATTATTTCAGCAACTCTGTTGACACCTCCAAGGGTTGAAGGCCTTGACTGGTGGGTTCAGAAGATTCTGGACATTACTACGCCAGAGACCTGAAATTGGAAGGAGTTGGCCCCAAATATGTGTGGGGGGCCAAGAATCACGGTAAATTGACTCTTCCTTGGTTCCACCTTTATATATAAGAAAACTTGCTAATCCTACCTTTTTGTTTTATTCAGGTCTCTCTCGGGGTTTTGTTTCTATCCTTGAAGAGGATGTTTTAGTTGACACCGCGGAGGCTGCAAGGTTGTTGTAGGAATCTCTTACCCCAACTGGTGCCCGCAGGTCTGCTTCGATGTAGGTGCTTCTTCTCAGAATCCCCGACCAGAGAATAAGCAACCAAAAAGGCGGTGTTCCTCCTCGGCCGAGGATAAAAATAAAAAGGTGAAGAAAATCGCGCCCGAGCCAACCACATCCGCTATGATTATTGACGATGATAGGGAAGCCCGTGATGAAGAGGCTTCCCTATAAAGGAGACAATGATCCTCATCAACTCAATAGAATGTTATCTGGAGAGCTTAGGACCCCAACCGAGGGCGATATCCGAGTGCTTAGGGGAGAATTTTACTTAGTGGAGAATGTTGATTCTCCCTTTACGGTCCCAGTTGCTGCTCCCAGTACTATGAGGTCGAGTACCGGGCCCCTTCTGCCTTTGGTTGGTGAGCAATCAACAACCTTTGTCGTAGATGATTCTTAACCTACAATGCCATCAGCTTCATCTACCTCCACGCCACCCATACCTTAATCCCCAACAACAACTACATCTTCCCCACCGTCTGCAGATGCCCGAGAGGAGGATGTCCCTCCTTCCCAGCCCCCTTACCACGAGAATTTGAGGCACAACTACTCCGCCCCATCTGCAGATTCCCAAGAGAGGAGGAGTGTCTCTCTCTCGGTGTTAATGAAGTTCCATCTATTGTCCAGGCCAGTGGAACTCGCCAATTATTTGAAACCGCTGAAATCAAAGAAAGATAACAAGAAAATACACTCTCTTTTGGGAGAGTGTATGATAAATAACACATGCACAACACAACAACGGCATTGTACTTGTTCTTTTTACTGCTTGTTTCTTCCTGATTTGTAGTGATAGGGTTTCTAACTTTGGTATTTGATTTGCAGACCAACTTCCTTGCTTCCGAGTGCCTTCAGAATTGATCCTCGACAACGAAGGACGCATGTCCGAGCTGGATCAACTGTTGGCCGATATAAATCAACTTGTTGCGTGCCTCCCGGTGTTAGAGGCGAAAGCTGCTGAGGTGAGTGATCTTGAGGCCTAGCAACAACTTAGTGAGCAGAAGGTAGTGGCCCTTAGTCAGGAAGCTTCTCAATTAAATGTTCAATTCCAAGAAGCTAAGTCTAAGTGGTCTGAAGTTCAAGATGTTGTGCTTGCCGCTGCCGAATGCGAGTCTGCCTCCATCAAGCGAGTGAATAACTTGGAGGCAGCTTTGAATTCCAAATCTGAAGAGGTTGCTGCTGCCGTGGAGAAGCGTGCCCAGATGCAGGATGGGTATAAAAAGATCATGCATCATAATAAGGTTCATATAACCACAATCCATGATCTAAATCTTAGCCTTAACGCTATGAGATCCGAGCGGGATGGCCTTTTGACCAAGGTTGATAGGCTTAAAGCAAATCTTCAGCACCAAGGGGATTCCCTCATTATTGAAAACACACACTCTATGTATCATATGAGGAGGAAAACCTTGGAAGAGGCCAAAATGGGCATCATTTATATTGGCGATCAGATTGCCAAGGCCCGAGTGCTTGAGTTAACTGCTCGAGAACACCTCTCGGCTCAGCCTAATGCAACTAATTATTCTAGTTCCGATTTTGAGTCCTCAGGAACCGAGGAGGAGCTTGAAGAGAATAATGATGAAGGCCAAGATTCTACGCCGATGGCAGATCCGCCTACTTCTCTCGAGGGCGCAGATGCTTCTCTTCCCCCAAGTTTTGGTACCGACGTAGTTTAGCTTTTTTTCTTTCTTTTTCTTTGTTGTTTTCTTTTGCATTTTTGTACTTATGCAGCTTGGAATGTTTGATAAATAAAAGTGCTTTTTGTTTAAACATTGCGCAAAGTTTATTCTTTTTGTGTCAAATTAGATAAGGCTTCAGGTGTATTTTCCTCCGATTGTATTTGGTTTCGGACATAAATTCTTCCAGAACCAACCATTTACTATGAGGGTTTCATAAGAGTGGTCCCTTTTATCTTTACGGTTCTCTTAAAGAAGACGTCTCATGTTCATTTCGGCGCTATCATTTGAAGTACTTGGTTAACTTTCAAATGATAAAATCAATTCATCATTTGGACAAGAAACAAGATAAAAATAAAAGGACTTCATTTTATTCCTTCTATCTTCAAAAGTACATGAGCATTCGTTTGTTGAAATAAAAGAAATTGTCATTACATGTGGCTAATTTGTACAACTTATTTCTATGGGGCTGGTTGTGCAATCCCCAATGTTGATGGGACATTTTGTTCTTGGGTACCGTAATCCCAATTTTTGTGGCAATCAGGTTGCCGTATTCTCATACTATCCTAGTGTTCGAATGCGAAGAATGGGAATTGGAACACTGGAAGTCTTGCTCCTTTGAGGAAAAATACTAGTGAATGGTTGGATAATCTTTG